GGCAGGAGGATGGGAGCCGGGCGTGCTGGGTGCCGCGGGCTGGGGGATGCGCTGGGCTCTCCCATCGCCGGACACTGCTGCGTGTGGGCTCTGCCCCGCGGGAGGCACCACGGGGTCCGGCTGGTGCGTGCCCTGGCTGCCTCCCCCGGAACATGCCAGCCCTGCAGAGCCCTGGGGAGCCGTGAGCTGCGCCAGGCTGGGCACAGCACTGACAGCCCAACACGGGGTGTAATTAAAGCTATTTATCATCCTGCTGCCGCAGCGGGACCATCGATCCTGGCAGCCCGGCTCTAAGGGCTCCTCTGGGAGGATGGAGCAGGATATGGCCCAGGTCCCTGGGGCTCCAGCTCCTGTCTGCTGTCCAGGGAACACCTGCGCCATTGGCCATAGCACCTGGTGCTGGGCTCCTGGGGAATGACTCTGCCAGTGTGGTCACTCCTGCTGCTCTGCACCTTTCTCAGTGCTGGAGCAGGGCCTCTGGCTATCCTGGCTCCAGTCTGCCCTCGGGGATACCTGGCAGGGCTGAGGGTGTCACTGGGGTCAGGTTGGGACCCACTTTTGCTCTCTCTGACAGCGGGTGGCTCCTACTACATGATCTCACGCTCCCTGGGACCTGAGTTTGGTGGGGCTGTGGGGCTCTGCTTCTACCTGGGCACCACCTTTGCCGGTGCCATGTATATCCTGGGCACCATCGAAATCTTGCTGGTATGTACCCGGTCCTTGACTTCTGCAGTGCCATGGGCTCAGCTCCTGGCAGGGCAGGGGGCCTGAAGGGGTCCCCTCTGCAGACTGTTAGCCAGGTGGTGATGCCATGACTCTTTCCCAGGCCTACATCTTCCCGGCCATGGCCATCTTCAAGGCAGAGGACGCCAGCGGGGAGGCGGCCGCGATGCTCAACAACATGCGTGTGTATGGCACCTGTGTGCTGACCTGCATGGCCACTGTCGTGTTCGTGGGTGTCAAATACGTCAACAAATTTGCCCTGGTCTTCCTGGGCTGTGTCATCCTCTCCATCCTTGCCATCTATGCTGGTGTCATCAAATCGGCCTTTGACCCACCAAGCTTCCCGTGAGTACGGGGTCCTGCAGGGAGGCAGCAGGGCTGGGACATTGAAATGCTGAGTGCTGAGAGCCCATGTCCCCCCAGGATCTGCCTCCTGGGCAACAGGACCCTCTCACGCCACGGCTTTGACCTCTGCACCAAGATGGTGGTGGAGGGGAATGAGACGGTTGGCTCCAAGCTCTGGGAGCTTTTCTGCACCTCCCGTTTCCTCAACGCGACCTGCGACGAGTACTTCACCATGAACAATGTCACTGAGATCGAGGGCATCCCTGGCGCTGCCAGTGGCCTCATCCAAGGTGAGCACATGCCAAGAGAGGCATGGGAACATGGGCATGAAGGCATGGGAATGGAGCATGGAGAAGGAAGTGCAAGGGAGCTGTGGTGGGGCAGTGGCTGTGCCTGCTGGGCAGCTCTGCCAGCAGGACTGGTGGAGGTGTGCCGTGGGAGGCTGTCCTAAGCATGGCTCCTCAGCCATGCCAGGTGTGGGGGCAAACAGTCCAGGTGAGAGGGCACGTGGGTGATCCCTGCTGGGGGCCCCTCTGCTCCTGAGGCACAGTGAGCTGTGCTCATGCTGTGCCGGGCAGTGGGACAGACTCCTGCATGGGTGACAGAGCAGGGCGCTGCAGCCACCTGCAGTCTGTGTCAGCCAGTGGGGTGGCTGAGAATGATGCCCAAAGGCTGGGGAGGAATAAATCCTCCCTCTGCTTCCTCTTGGCCTTTGGAAGCGCTGGTATTGATTTGAGGTTTTGAGAGAAGTGATCACCCCTTGGGGCTACTTAGCTGCTGTGGCTACAGCCCTGCTGGGAGAGTGGCCAGGACCACAGAAAGATGCATGAATTTGCTGGGAGGAGCCATTTATGACCTGTTTTTCTGGAGATGCTGGTACATCTGCCAGGTGCTCACGCTCAGCAGTGGCTGGCAGAGGCTGATGCTCTGTGCCACATTCAGAGGGTGTCTGCAGACCCCCATGCCGGAGTGGTTGTTGGCACTCAGGAAAGCAGCAGAGCCACGAGCAGGATTAATCCTCCCTGATGGCTGCGGGGCTGCCCCAGCCATCCTGCCCTGGTGTCTGCGTGGACACAGGCATGGGAGCTCAGACTTGGCTAAGCACGTGGTGCTCAGGGCTGCAGCTGTGACCGTGATTAGCAGAGTGCAGTCACAGGGTGTTTGGGAGCCTCATGATGGTGTCCCACTCTGAGGTCTTTTGGGTCAGATAAGGGATTCCTGGCTTTTTTAAGGTATTGGGTGGAACCTGCTCCTTTTGGCAATGGTGCTGCTGGGGAGGGGGTGCAGACCCTCATCCACCCAGCTGGTCTCTCTCAGGGCAACAGGAAGCAAACACTCCTGCACTGGGGACAACAGGATAGAGCCAGGACCCCACTCTGGGGTGGCTGGTGACATGGGTGACCAGCCCAGCAGCATCTTGAGACAGGTGGCACAGTTTGACCCTGGCAGAGATGACTGGAGCTTGCTGTGCCATACGTGAGGGGTCTCCCTGTAGGGAGAAACACACATTTCTGGGAGGATGAGACAGGCGAAGGGGTTGCCAGCCCCATCTGTCACCTGTGCGCAGCCATGAAGGGCGCTCAGTGCCTGGGGCTGAGGGCTGGTCCCCTTTGCCTTTTGCTGTAGCCCCCTGGCAGTGACATGCCAAGGGCAGTTGCCTCAGCCCACCCTGCCCGGTGCTGGCTGCTCTCCACTGCTCCAGTTTCTCCCTGCAATCTGCGGCCAAAACAGCACGCGGAGGGACACTAAGCCTGTTACATCAGCCCCGCACTCATAATCCCATCAAAAACATTATCAAGTTACTTTGACACGATCCACTTCCCTTAAACCTGTGTTGATCAGCATTAATTATATTACCCTCTTAATTATTTGCTACTGCAATCTCAGGTCAGCTGCTCTGGCATCTTGCGGAGGCGCTGCCAGCAGCAGTATGAACCTGCTCTGGTTGCCCACCTATGCTGCCATCCTCAGCCTCTGGTCCCGTAGCCCCGTCTGCTGGCTGAGCCGGCTGCTCAGTGAGGCCGGGGAAGGGGAGGGAGAACCAGACCCTCTCCCTCCGGCTCCATCCCTGTGGGGCGGGGATGCTGTGCTGGGTATGGGGCTTGTGGCCATCTGATACCGGCGGCACTGCCCGGCTTCCTCCCTCCTCACAGAGAACCTCTGGAGCTCATACCTGACCAAGGGCGTGATCGTGGAGAAGCGGGGGCTTCCCTCAGTGAGCTCCCCCGACACCCCAGTGGATATGGACCAGCCCTACGTCTTCAGCGACATGACGTCCTACTTCACCCTGCTCGTCGGCATCTACTTCCCCTCAGTCACAGGTGGGAGCCTCCTGGGTCCCGCTCCGGGCACAGCGGGCACGTGCGGCCGGGCGTGCTCCGCGGAG